GGATTTCAGTCGCGCACTCGTAGATAGAAGTCGATTTCTAGCTGCAACATAGTTACACAATGGACGAGGCATATTCTCTCTCCACGGAAGTCTCACTTCGTACCTATTTTCTTCATTAACACGTAGGCTGTCGTTAAACTGCTGTAGAAACTCCGTATCTCTCGCCTTACGTGAAACCTGTTAAACGGGATCATTAATACCTAAAATCTCTAAACTCCATAGGTCTTTCAAGTCTAATTTTGTTAAGGAATGAAGGGTTGTCAATTTCACTAGTGTACTATAAACTCCAGTCATTTGTCCTTGTACAGTCCACCCCATCTTTGTTCTGATAGCAGTTAATGAATCATTAATTCGCACCAAGTCCCCCGTCAATAATGCACCGCAATAGTCTGCACCAATTAGTAAAGAAATACAGTCAGGTGTGTCAGCAGTCTCGGTCAATGTTATATCCTTTTTTAATAACTTACGTAATATAGAATCAGTTTTAACCTTAGGTAATAGACCAAAAATGTTACCTTGTTGTAATACGGACATATTAAGCACAAAATTGCTAAAGTAACTATGTTCAGAAATATTATATACATAACATTCATCCTTTTTCGTTTCGTAGCCACTGAACAAACAGTGACTTATAGCCTCTTTACTTACTGGTTGCAGTTGCAGACTCTCGACTAATTCCTTTGTCACATACGACCTCTGTGCACCAGTATCTATTAAAACTCTGACACATGCTACCCTGCTTCCATTTACTACCTTGACAGCTAAAGTTTGTAAAACGGTGGTAGTCTTAAGCTGACATAACATGTATCCTGATTTTTGGTCATTTTCGTCATTCTGTTTCTCGCTACCTGTCCCTTTCTCTAAATCTTGACACATCAGTGTGACGTGTCTTTACTTGCAAACAAGGCACTTCGGAAAACTACAACATCTTTTTGCCATGTGACCAACTTTTAAACAAATCATGCAGGCTCTTCTACTCTTTAATAAATCTTTACGTTCTGTGAGAGTCATTTTCGCCGTCTTGTAACATTCCAAACTTGAATGAGTATTCTTTTCACACCATATGCACGCATACTTTCCTATATCCTGTTTGACTTTCCCATCGCTCTTTTCAGACCTTCCTTCCGTTACGAAACATGCAGTAGGAGGGTTGGAACTTGTTTCAAAACCGGAACGAGTCAACTGTATCCTTTCTTCTTACTCGACTTCATCTTTCAGGAATTGCATAAGTTTTGTCAGATCATCTCCTTTTATCTCGCTCCTGTAACGGATTCTGTTCCAAGTCCTTAAAATTTCCTCGGGCAATGCTGACTCGATCATAGGGTATAGTATAGAAGCATATTTGTCATTGGCAATCCCTAAGGTCTCTAACGCTTGAAGATGACTGTGCAATTTGTCATATAACATATTAATCGAGTGGTGTTCTCCTTTATTTAGTAACAGTACTTGGTTCAAAATGCCTCGGACATAAGTTTCAATAAGAATATCCTCTCTCGCAAATCGAGCTTTTAAAGCATCCAGGGCTTTTAAATAGTTGTCACCGCTGGGCGGGTAACTCTCGACAAGTTGACGAGCGTTAGTTTCTGGAGCCATTGGCTGGAGTAGATACTGAAATTTATCAATGTTGTCTAACTCACCATCGTCATGTATCTTTTGAAATTGTCCCCACCACACTAACCAATTTTTGATGTTGCCATCAAACTTCATGAGCTCAAGCTTGGGCATGTGAAGTCGTTGTTGGCTCTTGCTATGCCTGTTGTCGCAACTTGCTGCTACTACAGACTCCGCGGAACACAACGACGGCTCACTCTTACTTTGGCCCATTTTTGACGAGATCCTTCTGTGTTTCGCTTGCAGTCGGAACCATTTTTTGCGGTAGGCCATTGCTTTCTCCTGATCTGTCTCGAACGCCTCTTGATCAAATGGTTCTGATGAACACCACAAATCTCGTAAAGCGCTTTCTACTTCAAATAGTTTATCGGAAGCTTCAGCTAATATCATAAAGGATTAAATAAAACTAGTTTTTACGGGTTAATGCACGAAACTTTATTTACTTATTGACGTTTCGTATCCTTTACAGGCTACGTCGTCAGAATCAAACTTTTATTTAATTTGTCGAGCTACCTTCGAAAGACTTTTATTGAGCGTTCGGTTATTTCATTGTTCGATTTTTAAAGTTTTATTGTCTATGTATGAATTTATTATTTAATTTACTTAATAAAGTATTTTATTTAAAATCCTTTTTTGTAATTTTGAGTTTATTTATTTGACCCTAACTACCATAAACTACCACCGGTTCCAAAATTAGGAGACCTTTCTGAGAAGAACCGGCGAAACAAACTCAAGAGAGGCTTTCTATCTCCTTCTTATGTTAAATTATGCAAACAAAAAAAAACTATTAGTATCTGTTGGTCTTGCAGTATGTGCTCGGGGTTGGGATTTTATCTCCTGTATAATAGGTTCCCAAGCTGATGGTATATACCAACCATCTTCCCTATTGAAATTTGGATATTTTTTAATCTCAATTGCCTCGCGTATCATTCTAGGAACGAAACGTTTCTCAATTGCAAGGATCTGTGGCTTATCAAATCTAATGTAATGGTTTGGTCCCCCTAATGCATGTTCACACACTGCAGACTTATTTTCGCGCCTATGTTTCATATCTGCAATATGTTCTTTTACGGGTAAAAGTAAAAGACTCGGGAGTCCCTATACTCCTCTTTGTTTGCCCGATGTAGGAGAGCCCACAGTGGCATTCAAGTTTGTAGACACCAGCAACTTGAAAGGGTATATTGCACTTGACCGGTCGTAGAAACTGGTTGATCTTCTTTGGCGGCTTGAAGTAAGTATTGATTGAAGCACGCTTCAGAATCCTCCCAATCTTGTCAGTGACTCCTTTCATGTAAGGTAGTATAGCAGGTTGTCGGTCGACTGTGCTAGGTTTGGCGTGACTGTGACGGCGACGTGGTACATTCAGGTTATTATCCTTCAGTACTTGCTCGACATGCTGAAGTTCAGCTGCCAGGTGTTGTTTGTCACAGACACCCCGTGCTCTCTGAAACAAAGAGTTTCCTACGGCAATTAATTGTTTCGGGTGATGGTGTGAGTCACCATTGAGGTACCTTAGGTGATTTAAAAATCACCTTAACTCTATACACCCCAACATCCTATTCACTATGGAGTTGGAGGCAGATAGTAAACTAGCTTTTCTAGCTATTTTATTAATCAGGAATCCTGACCAAAGTTTAAGCCGTTTAAAAGTTGTGTATCGTAAAGTGACTCATACTGATAGGTGCATGGGACACATTAAATGTTGATTAAATAGATTTATAAATTAACGACTATATCTATTATTTACAATAACAAGTACAGATACAGCATATTAAAAGACCTCAAAACAATACATCTGTTGTGTTGAAGTGTTTTAAATTCTTGTGTTTATGTGTGTATTTATTAACGATTTATTAATTAACTTTTAATTATCAAATCGTGGAGGAGTGTTGAACCTCTTGAGTGTCTATAGTAAGTAGACAAGTTAGAATAAAAACTGCGTAAGTCATTGTCACAAAGTACGTCAATGTAAAAGAAAATACAGTGCTATTATGATGTCTATTACCAGTTTATTTAATTTATTTAATATAGTTTTGTTATAAGTTATTTAAGGTACTAAAAGATTTTTCAACGGTCTGCGCGTGACTGAAAACCAAGAAGTGCTTGAGTGGTGTTCAAGCACTTCTTGATTGGGACACACTTCGAGGGACGTGGTGTATTTAATGTAGGTATTCAATATCGCTGATCTCGGTGTTAGCTAAAGGCATCTCAAAAAATAAAATGTAATGATAATTGCCTTCATTTTTGTACCTGACTGAAATAAAATTTATCAATTGGTAAACTCTCGTTTACGCAATGATAATTAATGTAATGATTTGGCTACAGCGTCATATTTTTTTTATCGGAGCCGGTATTCGAGACGCCATTTTGTTGAAGATGTCGTTAGGGGGCGTCCAAGTATTACGTAACGTAATTTGAGGGGGACGGGGGTCTTGCAAAACATTAAGATGCGTTATAAGGGCGGGAGGGGGTTCGATCAACGCATTATGTAAACATTGTTTTTTAATTGAATAAAAAAATCAAGGGTATTAAAATCTCCCAAGTTGGCAACCCTTTTCGTTTATGGTCAAAGACTTTTTAATATGGTTTTCTTTTTTTTAAGTTCTCCCTTTTCTTTCAGGTTATATGTTCCAACCAAGGAACTTATAAATCAGTTCCTTGGTTCCAACATTTTTTTCCAATAGTTATATTAGTCATTATTAAAAATTACTATTTATTGTTATTCTTTTGTGTTTTGATTGTTTATTTTTTTCAATCTCTTCCGGTAATTCAAGCTAAATATTATTGTAGTGTTATATTAAAAATGTATTCAAAGTTACTTTTTTTTCTTAAAACCCTCTATTTTACATCATAATGGAAGGACAAGTATTCAATTCATCACTTTCTTTATTAGAATTGATATAATATACGCGGCCTCTCAGGCCTCACTTCGGTACTAACGTTACAAAAAATGCACGTCGGTACTCAAAGGTTAATAAAATTTTAAAATGTAAGAGGATATAAGCACGGAGTAACATAACCTCAACGACATAATGCATAATGGCGGACCATTGCCATTGGCGGATGCGGACAAAGGAGTTTATAAACTCCTTGATTTTTACACGTCTGTGCTGATAGATGCGAATGGCGAGAACGGGGTGCCGGAAAGGGATGAAGAGGGAAAGGGATATGTCAGATTCTTAAAATAAAACAGCTCCGGCTACAAGAAAGAAGAAATACAGTTTACAAGTTACAGCATGTATTATTCTGAAACAATGAATTTAAGAATTGGCTGTATGGGCACAGTACCCTTTGCCTTCCCAGTATGGGAAAAGAGAAAAAAAATATGTCAGATTCTAAAGTACCGTTCCTTGTCTATGGCGACAAAATTTGTCAATATTTACTATGAAGTTTCCATTCCATGTCGTGTTTCTTTTTAAAATAATCTCTGAAGTCTGTTTTTTTATTATAAGAAAAGGACAAAGCAATATAGAAATCGTCACTTTTACTTAACACACGTTGTGTTGAAAAATAATATGAATAAATTATTTAGGAACCTTGCTTTCAGTAAGTGTCTTCTTTAAACTGACAAAATTATATAAGGGAAATATTAAGTACATATATTCTTTTATACGTAGAGAAACATTTATATATTTAAATTTCAGAAAATCGATGTTTTCACACATCATTGCTTTTGAAAACATCTAGCCCCAAAGCAGGAGAAAATGACACTGATTCATCAAACAAAGGAGAATCTAAAAGAATGTCAGAATTCCGAAAAAAGTTGAGGGAAACTACTCCAATTGAGGATCTTGGTGAACAGCCTGTCATTCATCCAGCACAAAGAGATGACCCTTTGCCACCATGGCCAAATGACACCAATCCCCATACTGGAGAAGTTGGGGGGCCCAGAGGACCAGAACCAACTAGATATGGTGATTGGGAGAGAAAAGGAAGAGTTTCAGATTTCTAAGATTATGTATGGATTTATTATATAAAAGACAAGTAGGTTTTTTTAATATTATATATTTTATTGTTGTTTTGAATGAAATTAGTTAATAAATTATTCTATACTTAAGCATTTGCTGATTTTCCAATGGTTTTTGGCATTTTCTTGTTAGTAGGGTCCTCCAATTCTTTAGATTTATAGTAATGTGGGGCAACGTCTAATAACCATTTACTTTCTATTTCTGTCACTTGTCTCATAAATTCTTTTGAAGTGAACACAAGTTCATGATAAATAACCCATCGAGGAAGTTCTTCAAACAAGGCACTATTTGGGTGAATCATAACAGTCTGGAACAAAATCAGATTTATATTTAAATAAAACAATATTTGAAAAATTTTACTAGAAAAACATCCACACAGTCCATGCATCAGATAGAATTCAAACCCACACCTTCCACAATTTGGGAGGATGCAATAAATACTGAGATCTTAATAGTTAGTAGAAATTAATAAAAAAAAATTATGTCACCATACTATTCGAATCAGTTCACTTAGCACAAACCAATATCAAATTTGAATAGTTTGCAGTGAAAGGGTACAGATGACCTTTTCTCTCTATTACATAAATCAACATAGGATAGGTGACCAAAAAGGAGACAGTTAAAATTTGACAAATTTGTATGGAGGGTGGTAGTGTCTCTTTAATTGTACACCCTTTAACAAAAAACTAAAATTTATTTTACTTCTTTTTTTTGATAAGTTTTAAGATATAAAATTGTATAATTTCTGTTTGGTAAATTGCAACTTTATTTATCTGTTTTTGTTGCCAAGACATCTCTTATATATTACATTCAATAGGTAACTAAAGCAGTGATAATTATTCTATTCATCTTTCATTACATTATTACGTATTTATAGGGTATGTTATTTCAAGAAGAATCAATTATAAATTGGTATAATAAGTTCATCATTATTTCACGAATACTGATAGAAACATAGTAAAAATCGATTATAGGATAGACTATTTCTATTAGTCCGAATCATGGATGGACGCGTGGTTATTATTACATTTATAGTCCGAATTGCGCCCTCAGATGCTATTTTGTGTCAGTCAACGTCACATTGACATAATATCACCTTTAATCTAAAATGTTATTATTTAGAGGAACAATGAACCTTAAACTAAGAACCTCAAAAAATATAATGTAATAACTAAAACTAAAAAACCTTAAAATATAAAATAACTAAAATACATTATTAAAAGGAGCCCCTTTAGACAAGGTTCCAAAGATACTGGCAGCGTTCACCCTTTGAATAGCTAGACTAATTCTTTAATACTAATCTAATTATTATTTTTTTTTTTTCTAATTTTTCTTTAATAATTCACGAATATAATGCATGACTGGACTTATTGACATTTGCCATAGTGAGTGAGTTCAGGTTAAAAGCTGCCACACACTAAAAATATGACATGACTTATGGGTGGCCAGCATCCTTACAAAATTTATCAATTATTACACATGATTTAAAATTAATTGAGGATAAATAAAAAATACAAAATTGATCAATTATTTAACACAATTTAAAATTTATTGCAGATAAATAAAAAAAAAATTATCTGTTCATGTTATAATATAAAACAAGCTTTCAAATGATATGTGTTTTGCAGCCTGAAATCAACTACCACTTTTGAACCATTTACTTTATTATCTCAAGCTCCTTTATTCTATGAAATGCATGCCAGGTCCAATGGCTAAGGACCTGGCTACCATTACAGATGTTAGCACCCACCAATCTGAACAGAGCCCAAGTATGGTACGAGATGACAATTTCTGGTTTGGGTCCATGGAGTAGCTGATATGACATATGACACACTTCTTCTTTCATTCATAGCTTAGTTCATAGTGTAAAAACAAAGTGGTAAAATAAATTTTGTTATTAAATGTTATATCTCTGATTGGAGCTGTTAACCCAAATAATTTTAAAAATAATATTTTTTATTGATCATTAGTTCCATACTCACTTGGTTGTGTTTCACAGTTTTATAGTGGCCACCTTTAGAAAACCTGGCAATATGATAAAAGTAGCCAGCTGTAATAGCTTTCCGAATATTAGAGTCTTCTGCTATGCTAGATACCATATCTATTTCTACTCTTTCCATTAGGCCAGCTAATTGTTCACGGACATCACGTGCCCTTTTCATGGACCTATATTGTATGAAATTTTCATAACACCATTGCACTGAGTAATCAGATTCAACCCATTGATTGTACACATTCATGAGTGTTAAGTGATCCCCATGAAGATGGAAAAAGTTTTTTCTGGCAGTGTCAGCATGGATAATTTTATCTTTTGGTCTGTAAAATACTGAACTGTTTATAGATAACATTGCTGCAATGGTAACTATTTCTTCTGAACATTTGTATCTGTAATAAAAATATTTAAATTAGTACCAATTTAAAAACATACCTGTTCTCATATTAGATAGAGGTAATAACTTACTTTTCACTAGCTAGAATCATTTTTGCTAGCATTGGATCTGTAGGAAATTCTGCCATTCTCCGTCCAGCTTTGGTCAATTCTCCATGGTGATTTAGTGCACCCAAAGCATACAATTGCTCTAAAGCCAAGACTAGTGTTTCATGTGGCGGAGGATCCAGAAAATCAAAATGGATAAGATCATTAATTCCTAATGCTTTTAATGTAAGAACAGCATTGCCTAAATTTATTCTTTGTATTTCTGGAACAGTATTATCTTCAAGTTCATATTTATAAGCCCAAGCTGTATAGAGCCTAAAACATTTTCCTGGAGCTACCCTTCCAGCTCTGCCAGCTCTCTGATTAGCTGAAGCTTTTGAAATGGGTACTACCATCAAACTCTCCATACCAGTTTTAGAATTAAAGTTATTTTGTTTTGCAAACCCAGGGTCAATTACATAAATGATATTGTCAATTGTAAGTGATGTTTCAGCAATGTTGGTGGCCAAAACTACCTTGCGGGCACCCTCTGGAGTGGGCTCAAATATTTTTGCTTGCATATCACTGGGTAGGTTAGCATACACTGGCAATATGATAAGTTCTTTTAACTTCTTGCCTATTCTTTTAGTTCTTTCTTGTAACATTTCTACACATGTCTCAATCTCTTCTTGACCAGTCAAGAAAACGAGGATATCACCCAAAGGCTGAGTTGCATGAATCTGTAATACAGAAACAACACATGCATCAACATAATCAGCCTCTGGGGCCTTTGTGTAGTAAATATCTACAGGAAATCTCCTTCCAGGGATCCTAAAAATGGGTGCATCATCAAAAAAATTTGAAAACTTCTCAGCATCCAATGTAGCACTAGAAATAAGTAATTTTAAATCTGGTCTGAATCTAGTTATATCTTTCACAAGACCAAATAGAATATCTGTATGTAGTGTACGCTCATGAGCTTCATCTATAATCATTACACTATAGGATGCTAAATCAGGTTCTGATAAAAATTCTCTATGGAGTGTGCCATCAGTCATATACTTAATAACGGTTCTATCAGAAGTACAATCTTCAAATCGAATACTGTATCCTACTTCATTTCCAAGTTTGACATTCATTTCTTGTGCAACTCTTGCAGCTACAGACATTGCTGCTACTCTTCTGGGCTGAGTACAGCCTATTTTCTTTCCATCTTTTGTAAAGTCTGCTTCATGAAGATATTGAGGTATTTGAGTTGTTTTTCCAGAACCTGTTTCACCTTCTACAATCAATATCTGATAGTTTTTTATGGCCTCTATTAAAGAATCTCGGAATGGATAAACTGGTAATGATTTTTTTGTCTCTTCAATAGTCATTCGCATTTTTTGGAATTCAGATTTTTCTTTTTCTTCCACCTTTTCTTTTGAACCTTCCATTTGTAAGGCTTGTATAAAATCAATCTGCTCATCTAATAATAAATCATATTCATCTTGAGCTTTGGCATCTTTGGCACCAAATTTAAAAAATGCAGACTTTATTTGTTCTTGTTCCCATTTCCTTTGTTCTGAGTGAGGTAATTTTTCATTTTCATCTACTTCAATATACTCTCCTGTAACAAACAGTTTAGAGACATTATAGGTTATTTTATGGTCAATTCATACTAGAGCCGAGGTAAAGCAAATTTCAGAAACATTAAGTAACATAATAAAATCACTGTTATCTGAGAATAAACTGAGCTAATAAACAGAGGAATAACACAATTTCCCTCATGTTCTTTTTATCTCAGAAGGAATATATACATTATGTTGAGATAATTTTTTTAGAACCCACACCAATTAGCCTAGCCCCAAAGTAAGCACTGTAAGGCTTGTGTTATGGGATACTAGAGTAACGGAGAGAATACATATACTTTATATTAGACTTGCAACGAATATTTGGTTACTATTCAGTATTCAGCCTATTCGGCTGCTTTTATTACATTCGGCCGAATACCGAATATCTACATATTATTCGGCCGAATACCGAATACTTAAATAATATATTATGTCATAGAGAAATAATTGGTAAAATGAAAAATTAAAATTGATTGATTATGTATATATTCATATTTTCATTTCTGTTATATAATCATTCAAGTAGTCATTGGTACATAACACAGGTACATAATCATCTTCTGAATTGGAGTATTCTATGTATTTGATTTATTGTGGTAATCAAAATTTAGAAGGGTAAGGTTCTCATTTCTAATCATTTATTAAGTAGTCATTGGTACATAAAACAGGTACATAATTTAATCATTTTCTGTATTAACAAGTTAACAGTTTTTAATTCATTCAGTCATGTGATGGATGGTTACATAACAGCAATAATTTAAAGTTTACGCGCTGTTTTTGGCCATATCTCAAAAGTTGGTTTTGTCATTTAGCAGCATTGATTGAGGACGGCAGATTAGAACTAAACAAAGGAGCGCGAAACAATCACGTCTGTAAAATCCAGCCGAATACTTTTGCCTAATATTCGGCTATTCGGTCAGGGGCCTCGCCGAATATTCGGTATTTGGTATACAGCCAAATATAGTATTTGTTGCAAGTCTAATATTTATATAGAAATACATATTTGACACTCATGACTGTAGTACAAATGCTCGCATTCATCACACAAATAACTGTCCCCACCGGGATTTGAACCCGGAACCTCTCCAAAATGATGGAACCAGGCATAATAATGGTGAATTTGCATTGTTATGTTTCTGAAATTTGCTTTGATGCATTTTGACTCTGCGCTTGTATGAATTAATCATTAGATGAAATAATATGAAAATGCTATGAAGTAAATAATAAGCTGTCAATTAAGTTATTTCCAATTAATGTATGTTATTTCTACCTTTTTCTCCCTTTCCCAAATCTTGCGGCATGTGATAGCGCTGAACATTTTCAAGTTCTCTAGCTTTTTCATGTTCTTTAGCCAATTGTAAGATTGTCTTTTTGTGTTCCCTTTCTCGCTTTTCTCTTTCTGTTAATCTGAAAACAATTAATGAATAAAATATAAAGGACTGATTTCAAAAATTAATTTACAAAACTAGGCTGGAATAACTTTATGCCCTATCTTTGCTGCAGATAAAGCAAGTTTTCCCATTATGTGATCTTTTATTAACCCTCTAATAAATTCTACCTTGTTTGGGGTCAAGCCCCACCAAAACCCTGGTTCCCCACGCCCAATAACACCCCTTTGTCATTACATGAGAAAGCTACACTTCGAAGTATCTTTAGGTAAAGATTGGACACTTTGCTTTGATTCACCAAAAGCGGATCTTTCGTTTCATTTTATAATAATATTGAAGATTTAAATACATACGTGCTTTCCTCAAATAAGTACTCGTCATCCGCAATATCAGCTTCTAATTCAATAACTTTGTCTTCTTTGCGTTTTTCTAAATACTTGCGTCGAGATTGTATACGTAATTTTGGCAGAAGTTTATCTCTATCTTCGGCCTCCAACTTTAAGCGTTTGGCCGCTTCTTCGTAAGACCTTTTATTTGAACTATCCGATACTTTCTTTACCCTCTCTTCATCACGCTTTTTTAATCTTTTGGCAAACTCATCACGTTCTTTTAGGTCTTTTCGTCGACTTTCTTCAGCACTGTCTGAATCTGATGATGATACATAGCGCTTTTTCGACTTTTCCATTTTTGTTGACTGTTTTACTTTAAATCCCTCAATGAATAGATAACCTATTTAACCCAGCAGTCTTACTGCTATTAATTTCATTTTAATAATTATTTTGACAGCTTTAAAACAAACAATTTTTGTTTTTTTTTGTTGAAGTTCTCCCGTTTTAGGGAAGGCAAAGGGAACAATGCCCATACAGCCTGGTCTTTAATTAAATTTATCTTCTTTTTGTTCTTACATAAGAATGTCGGTGTGACGCATTCTAATGTTTCTTGGAGTGTTTGGCACGAAATGTATCGAGTTGGCTTTTTCGATAAGCTTCTGTGAGGTAGTCAACACTACAATAAAATTCTCACGTCCACTTGACCGGAATAGCGTATATTTTAATGATTCCACTAATTCTACAGTTACGCAGACAGTTGTTACACAAAACCACACCAATTTTATTTCACAATATCCACTATGAACGAATTTAAGAATAATTAAAATAAGACGCCAACCGCACTCGATGAAATCCCGCCAAAAACCCCCTTTTTTTTGTCAATTTGTCCATGTTGAGACGGGCAAAGGATTCTGAGTCCATACAGCCCTGTCTGTAAACTTTTCTTCCTTAAAGTGTTTTGACTGTAGCTTTTACAAATTTGTATAAAGGAATATAGGTGTCGTTATTTTGTAAAAGTTTTCTCAATTCGCGCGGGATGGATTCTTCGCCAATAGTACATCGAAGGTCTTGAAGTAGCATATTTCTCTGTCCTTGAAATGAACCGCATAAGAAAAAGATATGGTCCAGGGACTGAGCTGACCATCTTGAGCCGCTACAGGTGATCTTTAAAAAGGCAATGACCTATTCTAAGTCTGCTTATAGTGGTATTAAAACTTGTTTTGTACTGTCCTTTATCAAACCAACAGGCACGTACAATGTTACGTGTATGTCTTTCTGATTTTTTTAATTATTCATGACCATGGATACAGTTCCTTCAGTCGTATACATAAACATGTATACAAATCATAATCTTTTTTTTACATTATAATGTCGGTGTGACCAATGATGCCATCTGAGTGCTTTCGGCCATTTAAGCGGTTATCGAGCATCGTCGACCTCAACCACGTTTTGACTCACCGCAATGTAGAAAAGGACATATCTCTCTCTATGTATATATTGCTTGTGGTGCAAGGCAATGCCAAACGAATCATATTAAACTCCGCAAACTTCAGCTCTTAGATGTTCTCTTGGCACAGTTCGGCTTTATTATCGAAGGATTCTAACCCGTAGTATCGGCTGAAACTTTGTGTTTTCTGTTTGAATTCAGCCAAAGGCATTTCAACATCGCACTAAGATGCAGCATCATTAAACCGAAGGCAGGCATGTTCATAAGAGAAAATATGTTCCAGTGCAGATATAAGGGAATCCAAATAAGGAATGAAGATCGTTCGCTTCCAAAAATCACATGGAGTCTCAGGATGATTGAACCGATGTCGTTGGCGAAATGCAACGCGCGGGATATGATAATCGTAAGTGTCGAAGACGTTTTGGAATTCCTGGTCCGCGTTGCTGCGATACACCTTTATGCAAGACACTATTCTTTGCATATGCTTCTTTCGTGTTTACATGTCGATGTGATGTCTTTGATTGTAGTGCATTGGCAAACTGTTCTAATATTATAACGAGCAGATACAATAAATTCTGACTTGGTAGCAGTACAATATAACTGGTAAGCGCTTTTTCTCGCTGCAGCATTACCTTCTCTAGAAATTGCCAAAAGGCGGTTGAAATTCCACAAAATGATTTTTAAAAATTGCAACACTTTTGTTATTCTGTGACCAGCGTGTCCCACATGAGCTGGAATATTTGGCTCGTATTTTCTCCGTGGAGAAGATTTTCGAAAAAAGTTGATGACATCTTTTAATGTGCTAATCGTGTTTCTTATTTCTGGAACATTATTTAAATCACAAACCACCAAGTTTATTTCGTAACTTGCACAATAAAAATACAAGGCTTATTTGCCCAAAAAGCATTAACTACAAATAAAAAACAAATTAACTTTATAAAGGAAGGCTCAACTATTAACTCGAAAAGCAAGCCTTTCTCAATCCTAGGTACTGCACCTGACTGGACTATTTTAATAGATACGTATGAAAATCCCTATGAGTACCAGTGGATGTTGGTGTTTCATCATCCACGCCGGACATATTCCTCTTTTCTAGGCACATCAAACATTTTCAACTTTGTCATCAACTAATAGAGTTGTACCGTGGGAAACTAACATTCCAAAGACCTCACAATTAAATTGAATTAACTTTATAAAGGAAGGCTCAACTATTAACTCGAAAAGCAAGCCTTTCTCAATCCTAGGTACTGCACCTGACCGGACTATATTAATAGATACGTATTAAAATCACTATGAGTACCAGTGGATGTTGGTGTTTCGTCATCCACGCCGGACATATTCCTCTTTTCTAGGCACATCAAACATTTTCAACTTTGTCATCAACTAATAGAGTTGTACCGTGGGAAACAAACATTCCAAAGACCTCACAATATAATTGAATAAATATTACGATCTTACGAACGAACTATATCAACTCGGAAAGGAATCAATACCGACTCGTCTTTCAACTTACTATCAAACAGGCGCCCACCTTTTTTTTTGCTTATTCGATAACGGGGAGAAAGAATGCATTATATGCACGACAATGATCAACGCCGCGTTGGTTTGCTGTTAACAAACCCTAGCCACGCAGGTAATTGTGTGGTGCATTCGGCTAGTCGCGAGCAGCCCGAGGGCGACTAGTCGATGCAGGTATACTTTGACGTGCACTCACGCAAGAATACATCAAAACAGCCCCTCCGACCGGCGGCAGCCTGGACCGCACCCGCTTCAGCCGATCCTGGGCTTCTCTGTTCACAGCGTCACGTTACTAGTTCAACGGACCGCAGACCGAGCGGCCAACCAGCCGACCTGCTCCCGTACCTACCAGCTAAACCAACTCTCCGATCTACCCCTCACTCTCCAGGCATAACGGCGGGACCCAGTTATGAGTCGCTGCTTGTTACGCCTGGATTCCTACCTCTTCGCGATGGTACCGCGGAGCACCCCCTCCCTGGCAGTCACAGAAGGTACCGCTAGAAGGCTAGCAGGCGGGCGGACCAGTCCTCCCTCCCCTGGAACAGGCGTCCATCGAACGTAAACGGATAAGCAGTTCCATTACGTTTAGATATGCTTTGGCTAGGCGACGCTGCACTTTGGACTTACCGACCGCTGGTTAACGGCTAGACGGCACCAATTTGATCAGCCATAGAGAAAGTAACCACTCCTTTTTAGGAGTAAGCACTTCCTAAACCACTTAAAAAGAAACGGAATGGGCCTAGTGTGGAGTGGTCCTTGTGGGTAATGGGCCCAGTGCGAAGACTCCCGATCCATCGCACACACTCCTGGTCCACTCCCGGTCCATCACTCACAAAACAAAATTTTAAACCAGTTAAGTCCACAACCACCGCCGTCAGTGGTCGCCCACCTCGCTGCCCAATTAGCTACCCGCCCAGCTGCCTAGTAAGCTGCCTCGCATGGTAGTGACGCTAAATTTTTGCCTCGCCATCATCCGCTATACAAAAGTGAACCTCGTTCTAAAATGTAACTCATGTGACTATGCACAGCAACGCATACAGCGAATGTCAGTCCGAGTTGCGCGCTCGATCCGATTTAAAGAGATTAAGAGCCCTTTTACAAAATTGCGCCTCTCTTGTTTAGGTAAACACGGCCGCGAGCGTGTCCGAGTCGCACGAGCGAGACATCGACGCGGCGATGTTCAGTATAGCGCGCTCTACCAAATTGATACTTTAATATGCAATTATTGATTATACAATAAATGCCATTATAAAATAAAGTTAATTTGAAGTGCTAAGATGGATCCCTACTGTAGCAACGAACGATTCTAGATAGGAATCCTGAGTGGAGCAAAGGATACAAGGATTAAGTTTTTTTACTATTGTGAGAAAATAAATAATATATTTATAGTACCCATTGGTTGTGTTTTGGAAATGACAATAAAGATTAATTATGATTATTACTAATTATTGTAACTTTATATGTATGCTTTGCATAACTTCTGTTTGTTCAAATTTTTTTTATTCACTCAGTAATTAAATGAAAAGTTTGTTCCCTGTTGTCGCTGAATGAAATCCCTTTTTCGAGTGGCAATGAGAAATAATATTTTATTTACTTGTGTTTTTTAGTATTGACTTTTTTAATGATGATTGATGTTTGGTAATAATCAAATATCTCAGTAAAACTGTACTAAATATAAAATATTAAAAATAAACTTTTTTGCTCTAGAAATGCATCCCATTAGTTTGAGTTTAAAACAAAAAACCAAACTGCTAACATTGTAAACTATGTACCTAGTGTAGTAGTGAAATACCCATTAAGTCAGTATAAAACAGATAAAATATTTACATTTCAGTTTGACGCTTCCCTTTGTTCCTCGGCTTCGTTTTCCAATCCAACTGTATTTTTTTCCTGTATAAATTAATGTATTATTATAAATTTAAATAATAATAAATTTATTGTTATAAATTTAATATATTTTTTCATTGTCTACTTCCAATAACAATATGAAAAACTTACAGTTTCCGTTGCAATCGACTCCATTGAACTTATGGTCGATATAAAATAAAATAAAATTTTGTTTCCATATAAAATAAATAGAACTGTGAATTTCTATTCTAAATATATTATTATGTTGGGCCAATATGTACTTTGGCCGCCCACGAGCTTATACTTGTTATACTTGATCGAAATGCAACATTTTACCGTACTCTAGCTTTTTTTTACAGACATAAGGGTAGATTGTAAGAAGCTTAAGTTTAAATCGGGGAATGTAGGGTGGTCACAACTGACCGCTTTATTGGAAAACGCGTTTATAGCTAATCTCCTAAATTATTGACTGTACGGCAAAATTGTAGTGTTTTTTTGTTTAATACTAAATTTTCTAACTTCTTTCTCTCAAACTTTTAAACTCTTACCGTTTTTCAATTGTTGTTGTTAATTTGAACATGTTTGTAGTTTTCCTTTATAAAACCTTAAAAATGTCATTAATTGATAAAAAACGTCGTATACAAGTTATT